AAAAATCCCCTAAAAATCCCCATAAATCCCCCCCCAAAATCCCCATAAAATCCCCCAAAAATCCCAAAAAAATCCCCCAAAATCCCCCAATCCCGGCCTCCGTGGACTCACCGGCCCCGGCTGCTCCCCCAGGCCGGGTTTGGGGTGGGATCAGGGATTTGGGATCAGGGATTTGGGATCAGGGATTTGGGATCAGGGATTTGGGATCAGGGATTTGGGGTGGGATCAGGGATTGGGATCAGGGATTTGGGATCAGGGATTTGGGGTCCAGGTTTGGGGTGGGATCGGGGATTGGGATCGGGGATTTGGGGAGGGATCAGGGTTTGGGATCAGGGATTTGGGGCCCGGGTTTGGGGTGGGATCGGGGATCGGGATTGGGGATTTGGGACCCGGGTTTGGGATGGTTTGGGGTGGGATCGGGGATTGGGATCGGGGATTTGGGGCCCAGGTTTGGGATTGGGATCAAGGATTGGGATCGGGGATTTGGGGAGGGATCAGGGTTTGGGATCAGGGATTTGGGGCCCGGGTTTGGGGTGGGATCGGGGATCGGGATCGGGGATTTGGGACCCGGGTTTGGGATTGGGATCAAGGATTGGGATTGGGGATTTGGGGCCCGGGTTTGGGGTGGGATCAGGGATTAGGATCGGGGATTTGGGGTGGGATCAGGGTTTGGGATCGGGGATTTGGGGTGGGATCAGGGATTAGGATTAGGGATTTGGGGCCCGGGTTTGGGATCGGGGATTTGGGGGCCCGGGTTTGGGATCGGGGATTTGGGGCCCGGAGCCGCGGAGCAGCCGCGACAGCTGGGCTGGAACCCGGCCCCAAATCCTAAATTTAACCGGGCTGGGTCCGACCCCCGATCCCAAATTTAACCGGGCTGGAACCGGGCCCGGTTCCCAAATTGATCTGGGGAGGAGAATCCCAAAATGGGCACGGAGGGAACGGGGTCAGCGAGGGCAGGGCCGGGCCGGGCCGGGCCGGGCCGGGCCTCTGGGGGCACTGGGGACACTGGGGACACTGGGATCACTTGGGGGACACTGAGACCCTTTGTGAGGACACTGAGGTGCTTTTTGGGATCCTCTGGGGATCTTTTGGGGGGCTCTGGAATCTTCTGGGACAAATCCCCCCTTTCCGTACAGCTCCACTGGGCGTCGCCATCTTGCCCGCGCCGGCCGCCATGCCGCCGTACGGCGCTACGTCACTTCCCGTTCCGCCGGAAGCGGCGCCGCCTCTTTCCGCCCCGCCGGCCTGAGGGGACGGAGCGCTCGGCGCCGAGGCCTCCGCGCATCCGCCGCCATCCGCTCGGCCCCGCCGCGCCCCGGCGCCATCCGCCGCCGCCATGACGGAGCAGATGACCCTGCGCGGCACCCTGAAGGGCCACAACGGCTGGGTGACCCAGATCGCCACCACGCCGCAGTTCCCCGACATGATCCTGTCCGCCTCACGCGGTGCGCGGGGCTGGGGGCTGAGTGAGGGGGGAAATGGGGCTGGGGGCTGCTCTGAGGGGGGGAAATGGGGCTGGGGGCTGCTCTGAGGGGGGGAAATGGGGCTGGGGGCTGCTCTGAGGGGGGGAAATGGGGCTGGGGGCTGCTCTGAGGGGGGGAAATGGGGCTGGGGGCTGCTCTGAGGGGGGGAAATGGGGCTGGGGGCTGCTCTGAGGGGGGGAAATGGGGCTGGGGGCTGCTCTGAGGGGGGGAAATGGGGCTGGGGGCTGCTCTGAGGGGGGGAAATGGGGCTGGGGGCTGCTCTGAGGGGGGGAAATGGGGCTGGGGGCTGCTCTGAGGGGGGGAAATGGGGCTGGGGGCTGCTCTGAGGGGGGGAAATGGGGCTGGGGGCTGCTCTGAGGGGGGGAAATGGGGCTGGGGGCTGCTCTGAGGGGGGGAAATGGGGCTGGGGGCTGCTCTGAGGGGGGGAAATGGGGCTGGGGGCTGCTCTGAGGGGGGGAAATGGGGCTGGGGGCTGAGTGAGGGGGGAAATGGGGCTGGGGGCTGCTCTGAGGGGGGGAAATGGGGCTGGGGGCTGAGTGAGGGAGGGAAATGGGGCTGGGAGTGAGGATGAGGAGGAAGCAGCAGAGTGGGAATGAGGAAGGGCAGCAGCGAGGATGAGGAGGAGGAAGGAGCAGGTGGAGGATGAGGAAGGGTAGAGTGAGGATGAGGAGGATGAGGAGGGGCAGCCCTTGGGCAGGGGGGTCCCCGGAGTGACTCCCCTGGACTGGGGGGTCCCAGGGGTGTCCTGGGGGGGTCCCAGGGGTCCCGGTTGTCCCTTGGGTGACCCCATTGGGCAGGGGGTCCCAGGAGTGTCCCAGGGGTCCTGGTGGTCCCGGGGGTGTCCCGGGGGTCCCAGGGGTGTCCCGGGGGTCCCAGGGGTCCCGGCCTGACCCCCCCTTTGCGCCCCCTCCCCAGACAAGACGATCATCATGTGGAAGCTGACGCGTGACGAGACCAACTACGGCATCCCGCAGCGCGCGCTGCGCGGCCACTCGCACTTCGTCAGCGACGTGGTCATCTCCTCGGACGGGCAGTTCGCGCTCTCGGGCTCCTGGGACGGCACGCTGCGCCTCTGGGACCTCACCACGTCAGTCCTGGGGGGCTTCGGGGGGTCCTGGGGGGGATTTGGGGGCTGGGACAGGTCAGGATTGGGGTAAACCCTGAGATTTTGGGGTCTTGGGGAGCTGGGAAAGGTCAGGATTGGGGTAAACCCCGGGGTTTTGGGGCAGTTTGGGCTCCTGGGACGGCACGCTGCGCCTCTGGGACCTCCCCACGTCAGTCCTGGGGGGTCCTGGGGGGCTTTGGGGGGGCTTCATGGGCTGGGAGAGCTGAAATCATCCCGGAATTGAGGTAAATCCCGGGGTTTTGGGGTCTGGGAGGTCTTCAGGGGGCTGGAACAGGTCAGAACTGGGGTAAATCCCAGGATTTTGAGGTTTGAGGGGTCCTGGGCATCCAGAGCAGTTCAGAACTGGGGTAAGTTGGGGGTTTGGGGTTTGGGGCTGGGGGGAATTTGGGGTTTTGGGGTTTGGGGGCTGGGTTAATTGGGGATTTTAGAGTTTGGGGGTCCAGGACAGCTCAGAACTGGGGTAAATCCCAGGATTTTGGGGTTTGGGGGCTGGGGTGAATTTGGGGTTTTGGGGTTCAGGCTGTGCCCTGGCTCCCCCGATGATTACACCGGTGTTTTCCCTGACCCCTCGGGGTCTGAGGATAGTCCTGCAATGATGAGGGGAGAGCCCGGGCTCGGGCTGGGTTTGGGGTGTGCAGGGCTGGGTTTGGGGTCTGCAGGGCTGGGTTTGGGGTGTGCAGGGCTGGGTTTGGGGTCTGCAGGGCTGGGGTTTGGGGTCTGCAGGGCTGGGTTTGGGGTGTGCAGAGCTGGGGTTTGGGGTGTGCAGGGCTGGGGTTTGGGTATTTTCCCAGTTTCTGGCTATTTCACCCCAATTCCTGTGTGTTTTTCCCAGTTTATCAATATTTTTCCTCAATCCCCGGGTTTTTTCCCGCTTTATGCCTATTTCTCTGGGCATTTCTCTCACTTTATAGCTATTTTCTTTGGTTTTTTTCCCGCTTTACTCCTATTCCCCAGGGTTTTTCCCAGTTTGTGACTATTTCTTCCCAATCCGTGGGTTTTTTTCCCATTTTACCTGTATTTCTCCAGGTTTTTTCCCACTTTACCCCTGTTCCCCCGGGTTTTTTCCCAAATCTTGCCCGTTTCCCCCCCAATCCCCGTGGTTTTTTCCCAAATCCTGCCCATTTTCCTCCAATCCCTGGGTTTTTATCCCATTTTACCCCTATTCCCTCGTGTTTTTTCCCACTTTATCCCTCTCCCCCGCAGTTTTTGCCCAATTCCTGCCCATTTCCCCCCAATCCCCGGGGTTTTTTCCCACTTTATTATTATTTCTCCTGGGAATTTTCACAGTTCATGGCTATTTATCCCCAATTCCTGCATATTTTTCCCGGTTTAGGGTTATTTACCCCCAATCCCCGGGGTTTTTTCCCACTTTACCCGTATTTCCCCAGGTTTTTTCCCACTTTACCCCTATTCCCCCGGGGTTTTTTCCCACTTTACCCCTATTCCTCCGGGTTTTTTCCCAATTCCTGCCGGTTTCACCCCAATCCCCGGGGTTTTTTCGCACTTTACCCCTATTCCCCCGGGGTTTTTCCCCAATTCCTGCCCGTTTCCCCCCATCGCCGGGGTTCTTTTCCCAATTCCTGCCGGTTTCACCCCAATCCCCGGGGTTTTTTCCCACTTTACCCCTTTTCCCCCGGGTTTTTTTCCCAATTCCTGCCGGTTTCACCCCAATCCTGGCCTCCTGCCTCCCCCAGGGGCACGACGACGCGGCGCTTCGTGGGGCACACCAAGGACGTGCTGAGCGTGGCCTTCTCCTCCGACAACCGCCAGATCGTGTCGGGCTCGCGCGACAAGACCATCAAGCTCTGGAACACGCTGGGGGTCTGCAAGTACACCGTGCAGGTCAGCCCGGGGCTTGGGGGGCGTTCCCCTTGGGTTTGGGGGCACTTCGGGGGCTTTGGGGGCACTTCTGGGGGGTTTGGGCTCGCGCGACAAGACCATCAAGCTCTGGAACACGCTGGGGGTCTGCAAGTACACCGTGCAGGTCAGCCCGGGGCTTGGGGGGCGTTCCCCTTGGGTTTGGGGGCACTTCGGGGGGTTTGGGGGCAGTCACAGAGGGTTTGGGGTCTGTTCTGGGGGATTTGGGGGCATTTCTGGGGGGTTTGGGGTCAGTTCTGGGGAGTTTGGGGTCATTACTGTTGGGTTTGGGGTGAGTTCTGGGGGTTTGGGGCTGATCTTGGGGGGTTTGGGGTCATTCCCTTTGGGTTTTTGGGTCGGTCTCATGAACTGGGGAAGCCCTGGGGGGGTCTGGCTGTGCTCCCCCTGTGTGTCCCCCCATTGTCCCCGTTGTGTCCCCACAGGACGAGAGCCACTCCGAGTGGGTTTCGTGTGTCCCCATTGTCCCCATGGTGTCCCCGTTGTGTCCCCACAGGACGAGAGCCACTCCGAGTGGGTTTCGTGCGTTCGCTTCTCCCCCAACAGCAGCAACCCCATCATCGTGTCCTGCGGCTGGGACAAGCTGGTCAAGGTGACCCCAGACCCAAATCTGACCCCAGGACCCCAAATCTACCCCAAAATCTGACCCCGGGGGGGCTGTGACCCCGGGACCCCCAAATCTGCCCCCTGTGACCCAAAATCTGCGGCTGGGACAAGCTGGTCAAGGTGACCCCAGACCCAAATCTGACCCTGGGACCCCAAACGTGCCCCTGGGACCCCAAATGTGCCCCCTGCCCCCCAATCTGACCCCCCGTGTCCCCCCAGGTGTGGAACCTGGCCAACTGCAAGCTGAAGACGAACCACATCGGGCACACGGGGTACCTGAACACCGTCACCGTGTCACCTGACGGCTCGCTCTGCGCCTCGGGCGGCAAGGTGCGCTGGGGACAGCCTGGGGACAGGGTGGGGACAGCTGGGGACAGCTGGGGAGAGCCTGGGATAGCTGGGGACAGCCTGGGATAGCTGGGGACACCGGGGGACAGCCTGGGGACAGCTGGGGACACCGGGGGACAGCCTGGGGACAGCTGGGGAGAGCCTGGGATAGCTGGGGGAAACCTGGGGATACCTTGGGACAGCTGGGGGGGACTTTGCTCCCCTGGGGGTGTCCTGGGGATGTCCTGGTGCTCCCTCCTGGACTTTGTCCTCCTTAGGGGTGTCCTGATGTCCCCTGGGGGTGTCCTGGTGTCCTTTCCTGGGGGTGTCCTGCACCATGTGTCCCCTGGGGGTGTCCTGAGCCATGCCCATGTCCCCTAGGGGTGTCCTGAGGTGTCGCCTGGGGGTGTCCTGGACTCTGTGTCCCCTCAGGGGTGTCCCTGTTTCCCGGGCGTGTCCCGAGCTGTCCCCGTGTCCTCTGGGGGTGTCCTGGACCATGTGTCCCCTGGGTGTGTCCCTGTGTCCCCTGGGGGTGTCCTGGTGTCCCCTGGCTGTGTCCCCAGGTGTGTCCCCAGCTGTCCCCTGGGGGGTGTCTGGTGTCCTGTCCTGGGGGTGTCCCTGTGTCCCCTGGGCGTGTCCCTGTGTCCCCTGGGGGTGTCCCCATGTCCCCGGGCGTGTCCCCAGCCGTGTGCTGTCCCCAGGACGGGCAGGCCATGCTGTGGGACCTGAACGAGGGGGTGTCCCTGTGTCCCCTGGGGGTGTCCCCGTGTCCCCTTGGCGTGTCCCCAGGACGGGCAGGCCATGCTGTGGGACCTGAACGAGGGCAAGCACCTGTACACGCTGGACGGGGGGGACGTCATCAACGCGCTCTGCTTCAGCCCCAACCGCTACTGGCTGTGCGCTGCCACAGGACCCAGCATCAAAATATGGGTAACTGAGAGCACTGGGGATACTGGGAGCACTGGGAATGGGATTGGGAATGATGGGAACGGGGTTGGGAACGGTATCAGCAATGGGAATGGGAACGGGAACAGGAACGGGCTCTGCTTCAGCCCCAACCGCTACTGGCTGTGCGCTGCCACAGGACCCAGCATCAAAATATGGGTAACTGAGAGCACTGGGGATACTGGGAGCACTGGGAATGGGATTGGGAATGATGGGAATGGGATTGGGAATGACGGGATTGGGATTGGGAGCGGTATCGGCAATGGGAACGAGAACGGGAACAGGAACGGGCTCTGCTTCAGCCCCAACCGCTACTGGCTGTGCGCTGCCACAGGACCCAGCATCAAGATCTGGGTAACTGGGAGCACTGGGAGCACTGGGAATGGGGTTGGGAGCACTGGGAATGGGATTGGGAACGGGAACGGTATCGGCAATGGGAACAGGAGTGGGGGTGTCCCTGTGTCCCCTGGGCGTGTCCCTGTGTCCCCTGGGCGTGTCCCCGGGCGTGTCCCCAGCTGTCCCCGTGTCCCCAGGACGGGCAGGCCATGCTGTGGGACCTGAACGAGGGCAAGCACCTGTACACGCTGGACGGGGGGGACGTCATCAACGCGCTCTGCTTCAGCCCCAACCGCTACTGGCTGTGCGCTGCCACGGGGCCCAGCATCAAAATATGGGTAACTGAGAGCACTGGGGATACTGGGAGCACTGGGAATGGGATTGGGAATGATGGGAACGGGATTGGGAACGGTATCAGCAATGGGAATGGGAACGGGAACAGGAACGGGCTCTGCTTCAGCCCCAACCGCTACTGGCTGTGCGCTGCCACAGGACCCAGCATCAAGATCTGGGTAACTGGGAGCACTGGGAGCACTGGGAATGGGGTTGGGAGCACTGGGAATGGGATTGGGAACGGGAACGGTATCGGCAATGGGAACAGGAACGGGCTCTGCTTCAGCCCCAACCGCTACTGGCTGTGCACTGCCACCGGGCCCAGCATCAAAATCTGGGTAACTGAGAGCACTGGGGATACTGGGAGCACTGGGAATGGGATTGGGAATGATGGGAATGGGATTGGGAATGATGGGATTGGGATTGGGAGCGGTATCGGCAATGGGAACGAGAACGGGAACAGGAACGGGCTCTGCTTCAGCCCCAACCGCTACTGGCTGTGCGCTGCCACAGGACCCAGCATCAAAATATGGGTAACTGAGAGCACTGGGGATACTGGGAGCACTGGGAATGGGGTTGGGAGCACTGGGAATGGGATTGGGAACGGGAACGGTATCGGCAATGGGAACAGGAACGGGCTCTGCTTCAGCCCCAACCGCTACTGGCTGTGCACTGCCACCGGGCCCAGCATCAAAATCTGGGTAACTGGGGATACTGGGAGCACTGGGAATGGGGTTGGGATGGGAATAGGATCAGGAATGGGATCGGGCCCCCCCGTGCTGTGATGAAACGTTCCAATGCCTCCGACCGATCCGTGGGGAAACCCAGAGGCTGTTTCTGAGCCAGCCCCGGGCTGGGGGATCCAGATCCGGGCAGGATCCAGGTGGGATCTGGGTGGGATCTGAGCAGGATCCAGGCCACATCCAGGCGGGATCTGGGTGGGATCTGAGCAGGATCCAGGCCACAGTGCTGACCCTCTCCTGCCTGTCCCCAGGACCTGGAGGGGAAGATCATCGTGGACGAGCTGAAGCAGGAGGTGATCAGCACCAGCAGCAAAGCGGAGCCGCCCCAGTGCACGTCCCTGGCCTGGTCAGCAGACGGGCAGGTGAGACCTGGGGAGGGGACAGACGTGGGGACACACCTGGGGACACTGACACGGGCAGGTGAGACCTGGGGAGGGGACAGACGTGGGGACACACCTGGGGACACTGACACGGGCAGGTGAGACCTGGGGAGGGGACAGACGTGGGGACACACCTGGGGACACTGACACGGGCAGGTGAGACCTGGGGAGGGGACAGGGGACACACCTGGGGAGGGGACACTCAGAATGGGACACTCACCTGGAGAGGGGACACCTGGAGAGGGGATACTCAGCTGGGACACTCACCTGGAGAGGGGAGCCACATCCAGGCGGGATCTGGGTGGGATTTGGGTGAGATCCAGTTAGGAGTGCTGACCCTCTCCTGCCTGTCCCCAGGACCTGGAGGGGAAGATCATCGTGGACGAGCTGAAGCAGGAGGTGATCAGCACCAGCAGCAAAGCGGAGCCGCCCCAGTGCACGTCCCTGGCCTGGTCAGCAGACGGGCAGGTGAGACCTGGGGAGGGGACAGACGTGGGGACACACCTGGGGACACTGACACGGGCAGGTGAGACCTGGGGAGGGGACAGACGTGGGGACACACCTGGGGACACTGACACGGGCAGGTGAGACCTGGGGAGGGGACAGACGTGGGGACACACCTGGGGACACTGACACGGGCAGGTGAGACCTGGGGAGGGGACAGGGGACACACCTGGGGAGGGGACAGACACCTGGGACACACCTGGGGACACTGACACGGGCAGGTGAGACCTGGGGAGGGGACAGGGGACACACCTGGGGAGGGGACACTCAGAATGGGACACTCACCTGGAGAGGGGACACCTGGAGAGGGGATACTCAGCTGGGACACTCACCTGGAGAGGGGATAATGACCTGGGGAAGGGACACACCTGGGGAGGGGACAGACACCTGTGACACCCACACCTGGAGAGGGGACACTCAAATAGGGACACTGACCTGGAGAGGGGGCAGACACCGGGGACAGGGCTTTGGGGAGAGAGGGCCTGGGGACCCCACCCTGACCCCGGAGTGACCCCGGAGTGACCACTGACCCTTGGATGACCCTTGAGTGACCCCCGGTGACCCCTGTCCCTGTCCCCAGACCCTGTTTGCCGGCTACACCGACAACCTGGTGCGGGTGTGGCAGGTGACCATCGGCACCCGCTGAGCCCGGCCCGGAGGAGGAGAAAGAGGGAAAAACTGCAATAAACGGAGTTTTTGGAGCTGGAGTCGCTGCTGACCTCACTGGGGGGGTTGGGGGGGGTTCCTCGTCCTTCCCCCTGCTGAAAAAACCCTCGATTTATTTTAAAAACTCCAAAAAACCCCAATGTTAATTAAAAAAACCTGAATTAATTTAACAGAAACCCCAAACCCCTAAATTAATAAAAAACCCCTTAATAAAAAAAACCCTAAATAAAAAAACCCTTAATTAATTAAACAAAAAAATTCCAAAACCCTAAATTAATAAAAAAACCCTTAATTAATTAAAAAACCCCAAAAAACCCTAAATAAAAAACCCCAAAACCCTAAATTAATTAAAAAACCCTTAATTAATAAAAAACCCCAAACCCCTTAAATAAAAAACCCCCAAACCCTAAATTAATTTAAAACCCCCCCAAAAACCATAAAATAAAAAAAACCTAAATAAAAAACCCCAAAATCCTAAATTGATAAAAACTCCTACATTAATTAAAAAAAAAAACAAACATAAAACCCAAAGTTACTTAAAAAACCCAAATTGATAAATCCAAAAAACCCCTAAATTAATTAAAAAACCCCAAAATCCTAAATTGATAAAAACTCCTACATTAATTAAAAAAAAAAACAAACATAAAACCCAAAGTTACTTAAAAAACCCAAATTGATAAATCCAAAAAACCCCTAAATTAATTAATTAACGAGGATTAAAGACCCAGGATTGATTCTGGGGATGTTGGGGGGGTCCCGACCCCGATTTTGGGGTAATTCACCCCAAAACTCGTCCTGGGGACGCAAGGAGCCGGAGCCTGGGGTACAACTTTATTCTTTATTATCCACATAAAACTAAATCTCATTTAATTCTCCTTTTTTTAGCCAAAAATATCCCGAACGAGCTCTGAAACGCCAACAGGAAATTCCCAAATCCACCAAAATCCAGGGAAAACGGGGGGGGGGAAGGGCAGGGGAGCTCCCGAGGGGGGAGAGGGGAAAAAAAAAAAAAAAACAAAGGGAAAAAAAATAAATATTCCCCAGCTCGGGGAGCTCCGTAAAGTGCCAGAGAGGAAAAATCCAAAAATCCGGGATTTTCCCCCAAAAAACGGCCGGGGGAGGGGCGGGGGGGAAATCCCAAAAAATCCTGGAAGCGGGAAAAGCGGATTTTGGGAAAGGAGGGAGCTCCAAACCCCGGGGTTGGTCCCAAAAACTCCCGGGAAGGGCCCAAAATTCAGCGGGGGGAGGGGAGGGAGCGGCCAGGAACTGAACTGGGAAAGGGAACCCGGCCCAGTTTGGAACTGGGCACCTCCAGAACCCAAAACTGGCTTCAAAGGGGCAGATTTTAACCCAAAACGGGCACCAAAGGGGTGGAATCTGCCCCATCCAACCCAAAACCAATTCCAAAGGAGCAGATTCTGCCCCATTTAACCCAAAACCGGTTCCAAAAGGGCAGATCCTGCCCCATTTTAGATCAAAATGGGCACCAAAGGGGTGGATCCTGCCCCATCCAACCCAAAACCGGTTCCAAAGGAGCAGATTCTGCCCCATTCAACCCAAACCTGGTTCCGAAGGGGTGGATCTTGCCCTGTTTTAACCCAGAACATTCCAAAGGGGTGGATTTTGCCCCATTTCAACCCAAACCTGGCTCGAAAAGGGCAGATTTTACCGCGTTCCAACCCAAACCAGCCCCAAACTGGACCCTGCCCCACCCCGAGCTGACCCCGCTCCCGGCGCGCGGGCAGAGCGGAACAAAGAGGATGATGAAGATGAAGAGCAGCAACCTCCAAACCAATCACCTGCAGCCACCCCCGAGTCCAGCACCCCCTTTTTGGGGCCGTTCCCCCCTTTTTTGGGGCCGTGGTCAGGTGCAGATCTCGGCCAGCTCGCGGCAGCGATGTGGAAGGTGTGGATGTGGCTCATTGGCCCTGCTCCCGAGGATGATGAAGATGAAGACGAGGAGGAAGAGCACCAACCTCACCAACCAGTCAGCCACAGCCACCCCCGAGTCCAGCACCCCCTTTTTTGGGGCCGTTCCCCCCGTTTTGGTCAGGTGCAGATCTCGGCCAGCTCGCGGCAGCGATGTGGAAGGTGTGGATGTGGCTCATTGGCCCTGCTCCCGAGGATGATGAAGATGAAGACGAGGAGGAAGAGCACCAACCTCACCAACCAGTCAGCCACAGCCACCCCCGAGTCCAGCTCCCCCTTTTTTGGGGCCGTTCCCCCCGTTTTGGTCAGGTGCAGATCTCGGCCAGCTCGCGGCAGCGATGTGGAAGGTGTGGATGTGGCTCATTGGCCCTGCTCCCGAGGATGACGAAGATGAAGAGCACCAACCTCCAAACCAATCACCCGCAGCTGCCCCCCCGAGTCCAGCTGCCCCTTTTCTGGGGCCGTTCCCCCCGTTTTGGGGCCGTTCCCCCCGTTTTGGTCAGGTGCAGATCTCGATGCGCGTGCCCCGGGCCAGCACGCGGAAGAAGGGGAAGACGCGCTCGCGGCAGCAGATGTGGAAGGTGTGGATGTGGCTCATGCTCTCGGCGTTGTAGAAGCACAGCTGGCCGCGCTCGTAGTCCAGGTAGACGCCGAAGCGCCGCGGCTGCTCGCCGGGCGCCAGCGCCGTCTGCTCCGTGGCCGTCAGCGCCTGGTACTTCTTCCCGCTGGTGCCCACCGCCCAGATCTCCCGCTTGGGCGGCGCCGCCGCTCCCCCTGCCCCTTTGGGGCGGTGCCGGGGGGTCTCGCGGGCGGCGCCCACCGCCCAGCCGCGGCGCCCGCCCACCTCCACCTCCCAGTAGTGGCGGCCGGCGCTGAAGCCGGGCGCGCCCAGCACGCACAGGTCGCCGTCGGGGCGCCGCGCGCCGGCCGCGGGCTCCGGGCGCCGCTCGGACAGACGGACGCTGCGCCGGTCCAGGGACAGGCTGAGGCGGGGGTGCGCCGTGGAGGGGTCCAGGGTGACGTCGGCTGCGGGGGGCACGGCGGTCAGGGGGGTTTGGGGTACACGGTGGGAGTGGGGCAAGGACTTTCAGCCCTTTGAGCCCGAATTTCCACTCCTTTAAACTGAAATTTCCACTCCTTTAAACTGAAATTTCCACTCCTTCAACCCCATATTTTCACTCCTTTAAACTGAAATTTCCACTCCTTTAAACTGAAATTTCCACTCCTTTAAACTGAAATTTCCACTCCTTCAACCCCATATTTTCACTCCTTTAAACTGAAATTTCCACTCCTTTAAACTCAAATTTCCACTCACTTAAACTCAAATTTCCACTCCTTTAAACTCAAATTTCCACTCCTTCGACCCCATATTCCCATCCCTTCAGCCCCCAACTTCCTGCTTTTTAATCCCAATTCTCACCTCTTCATATTCCCACCCCTTTAACCCCCGATCCCTCCAACCCCCAATTCCCAGCCTTTCACCCCAAATCCCCACCCCTTTAACCCCAGAATTTCCCCTCCTTCACACGACAGATTTTCATCTCTTCACCCCTCGATCCCAGCTCCTTTAAACCCCCGATTTTCCCTCTTTTACCCCCAAATTTCCCCCTTTCCCCCCCACCTTGGGGCACTTTGCTGAAGACCTTTTCCATCTTCCTCATCACCACGTCCTGCAGGAAACAATTCCTGAATTTCTTCCCCACGTCCACCGGCACCATCTCGGGCTCCTGGAATTTGATGTTCTCGCACCTGGGAAAGCGAGGGGAAAAAGGGGAAATTTGGGATCCGAGGGGTCTTTTCCCAGCCCCGCTCCTCCCCCGGGTGTCCCCGAGCACCCCAAAATCCCTCACCTGATGAAGGTGCCCTTGATGTCCTGGCAGAGGGCAGCAGGTGCCAAAGGGAGGGGAAACAAAAAGGGAGAAGTTTTAACGAGGATTTGGGATTTAGCATTTGGGATTTGGGGTTCGGGTGAGGGAGAGGAGTCCAGGGCGTGGCACAAAAACCCCAATCCCAATTCTGCCTTTTCCCCAGGAACGGGGTGGGGAAACCCCAGAGAGCTCATCCCAGTTCCCCCACTCCCAGTTCCCCCAGTCCCAGTTCTTCCCTCTCCCAGTTCCCGCCAGTCCCAGTTCTTCCCTCTCCCAGTTCCCCCCAGTCCCAGTTCCTCCCTCTCCCAGTTTCCCTCCTCTCCCAGGCCCCCAATCCCAGTTCCCCCAGTTCCCCACCCCCCAATCCCAGTTTCTCCCTTTCCCACCCCCCAATCCCAGTCTCCCCAGTCTCTCGCCCTTCAATCCCAGTTCTCCCAGTCTCCTGGTCCCTAACCCATTTCCCGCTCCTCCAGGGCGCCGAGGTTGCGGCGCTGCCGCGCCAGCAGCGCCTCGTGCCGCTCCTGCAGCTGCCGCAGCAGCAGCACCTGCTCCCCCGCCAGGAAGCGGTGCAGCACCTCGAAATCCGCCTCCAGCTCCTGCATCTCCGCCTGCATCTGCTCCTGGGGGGGAACGGGGGGAGAGGGTGGGCACGGAGCCGGGACAGCCAATTCCAGAGCCTGAACCCCAAATTCCCACTGGGAGCGGTGATTTACACACCCTGAACCCCAAATTCCAGACCCTGAACCCCAAATTCCCACTGGGAGCGGTGATTTACAGACCCTGAACCCCAAATTCCAGACCCTGAACCCCAAATTCCAGAGCCTGAACCCCAAATTCCCACTGGGAGCGGTGATTTACAGACCCTGGACTCCAAATTCCAGACCCTGAACCCCAAATTCCCACTGGGAGCGGTGATTTACAGACCCTAAACCCCAAATTCCCACTGGAAGTGGCCAGGTACAGACCCTAGACTGCAAATTCCAGACCCTGAACCCCAAATTCCCACTGGGAGCGGTGATTTACAGACCCTAAACCCCAAATTCCCACTGGAAGTGGCCAGGTACAGACCCTAGACTGCAAATTCCAGACCCTGAACCCCAAATTCCCACTGGGAGCTGAGATTAACAGACCCTGGACTGCAAATTCCAGATCTTTAACCCCAAATTCCCACTGGAAGTGGTGATTTACACACCCTGAACTCCAAATTCCAGATCTTTAACCCCAAATTCCCACTGGGAACAAAAATTCCCAGCCCTTGAACAGAAAATTCCCACTGGGAGTGGAGATTTACAGATCCTGAACTCCAAATTCCAGATCATTAACCCCAAATTTCCAGACCTTTAACCCCAAATTCCCACTGGGAGTGGAGATCTACACACCCTGAACCCCAAATTCCAGCCCTTTAACCCCAAATTCCCACTGGAAATGGAGATTTACAGACCCTAAACCCCAATTTCCAGACCTTTAACCCCAAATTCCCACTGGGAGTGGAGATTTACAGATCCTAAACCCCAAATTCCAGCCCTTTAACCCCAAATTCCCCCTCACACTGCACTCAGGGGGGTTTTTACCCTCCAGCTCCCCCCCGGAGCCTCTTTTGGGCTGAGAAAAGGGGATTTTGGAGCCGGGGCGGGGCTGGTTTTGGGGTGAGGGGGATAGGGGGCCCCTCTCACCCTGAGCACGGAGATTTTCTCCTCCTCGCTGCACTTCTGCTTCAGCAGCGCCTCCAGCTGCTTCCTCAGGGGCTCCAGGTGGCTCTGCAGCTTGTTCTGGGGGGAAAGGGGGGTCAGCAACGGGGATCCCGGTCCCAAAAACCCCCAGGGATCAAATCCCAGCCCCAAAAACCCCCAGGGATCAAATCCCGGCCCCAAAAAACCCCAAAATTAAATTCCCGGCCCCAAAAACCCCAGGGATCAAATCCTGGCCCCAAAAACCCCCAGGGATCAATTCCCAGCCCCAAAACCCCCAAAATTCAATTCCCGACCCCAAAAACCCCCAGGGATCAAATCCTGGTCCTAAAACCCCCCAAAAAAACCCCAAATCCTTCTGTTTTCCCCCTCCCCAGTCACTGAACTGACCCTGCCAGTGCTGCCCCTGGAACCCTCATACCCCAAAACCCCCCAAAAAACCCCAAAACCCCCCAAAAAACCCTAAAACCCCAAAAGCCCCCAAATTTTCCCCTCCCCAGTCACTGAACTGGTCCAGCCCATGCTTCCCCTGGATCCCTCGTACCCCAAAACCCCCAAAAACCTCCAAACTCTCCAAAAACCCCAAACCCTCCACAAACCCCCAACACCTCCAAAACCCCTCAAAAACCCAAAACCCCCCAAATGTCCCAAAATCCCCCAAACCTCCAAAAACCCCCAAAACCCTCAAATGCTCCAAAAACCCCCAAAACCCCCCAAACCCTCCAGAAATCCTGAAGTCCCCAAACCTGCCAAAAACCCCAAAACCCTCCAAAAACCCCAAACCCCCCTAAAACCCTCAAAACCCCTGAAAACACCAAAACCTCCCAAAAAAACCGAAAAATCTCCAAACCCTCCAAAAACCCCCAGACTCTCCAAAAACCCCAAACCCCCCAAAAACACCAAACCCTCCAAAAACCCCAAAACCTTCAAACCCTCCAAAAAACCCCAAAGCCCTCCAAACCTCGTCGAGCGGCACCACGCTGTGGTGGCGGTGGGCGCGCGCCTCGCGGCACACCACGCAGATGGCGGCCTCGTCCACCTCGCAGAAGAGCTTCAGCGGCTCCTGGTGCCGCTCGCAGAGCTCGGGGGGCCCCCCGGGCGCGCCGCGGGGGCCGGGGGGGGTGCCGGGGCTGCGCGGGGGCCGCGGGTGCAGCTGCCGGATGATCTGCACCATGTTGGCCAGCTGCAGGTTGGGGCGGAAGGAGCGCTGCAGGAAGGACTTGCGGCACTGCGGGCACGTGAACACGCCGCGCTGCCCTTCCTCCTCCTCCTCCTCCTCCTCTTCCTCCTCCTCCACGTCCTCCTCCATCACGTCCTCGTCGTCGAAGTAGAGCCGGCCGCCCTGCGCCGCGCCGCCCGCCCACGCCGCGGGCTCTTCCTCCTCCTCTTCCTCCTCCTCCTCCTCCTCCTCCTCGGCGGCTCGTCCTCGCAGCTCGCCTTCCTCCTCCTCCTCCTCCTCCTGCTCCACGTCCAGCTCGTCCTCCTCCAGCTCGTCCTCGTCTTCCTCCTCCTCCTCCTCCTCCTCGTCCTCGTCCAGCTCGGGCCCGCGGGCGGAGGCTCCGGGGACGGGCTGGGCGGCGCCGCGGGCCCACAGGCGGGAGATGCAGCCGCGGCAGAAGTTGTGCCCGCAGCCGATGGACACGGGGTCGGCGAAGTAGTCGAGGCAGATGGCGCAGATCGCCTCCTCCTGCAGCGTCTCCACCGGGTCCGGCCGCGGCCCGGGGCCGCCCAGCGCCGCCATGGCCTTCCTCCTCCTCCTCCTCCCTCTTCTCCCCGCGCCGGGCCCGGCCAGGCGCCGGCGGAGCCTCCCCGCGCCGGGCCGGGCCGGGCTAGGCCTCGCTAGGCCGCGCTAGCCAGGCCGCACCGGGCCCCGCCGCCGCGGCCCCTCGCGCTCTCACAGTGCCGCAGGAGCCTCTCGCCGCCCGCCCGGCGCTCCCCCGGTGCCTCTCGCGTCTCTCCCGGGCCTCCCCCCGGCCGCGCTCGCCCGGCGACGGCTCCGCCACAGACGGGAAACGCCGCGGCACTTCCGCCTTCCGGCGCGGGCCACGCCCCCGCGGCGCGGCGTGAGGGGAAGCGGCGGCGGTTGCCGGGCAACGCCGGAAGTGGGGGGCGCGCGGCTTCCGGTGGGGTTCGGCTGCCCGCGGGACTCGGTGGTGTGGAGGACTGGGGGCGGGGCTTTGGCCGCTTTCCCCGCCCCCGGTTCCGGCCCCGGTTCTGGTTCCATTTCCGGTCCCGGTTCTGGTCCCGGTCCCGGTTCTCGTCCCGGTCCCGTGCAGGTGTTTTTCCCCCAAATCTCTTTTCCCCCCCGGTTTTTCCCCAAAATCTCTCTTTTTTCTCCCAAAATCTCTCATTTTTCTGCAGTTTCCCCCCAAAATATCTCTTTTTTTCAGCTGTTTTTGCAGCTGTTTTCCCCCAAAATCTCTCTTTTTTATCCCCTGTTTTTTCCCCAAAATATCTCTTTTTTCCCCCCAAAATCTCTCTTTTTCCCGCTGTTTCACCCCAAAATCTCTATTTTCCCCCCAGAATCCCTATTTCCCCCCCAAAATCTCTATTTCCCCCCCAAATCTCTATTTCCCCCCCAAATCTCTCATTTCCCCCCAAAATCTCTCTCATTTTCCCCCAAAATCTCCCATTTCCCCCCCAAATCTCTCTCCTTTCCCCCCCAAATCTCTCCTTTCCCCCCAAAACCCCCAAATCTCTCCCATTTTCCCCCCCAAATCTCTCTCCTTTCCCCCCCAAATCTCTCCTTTCCCCCCAAAATCTCCCATTTTCCCCCCAAATTTCCCCTCCTTCCCCGCCTCCCGCAGGCGCGGCGGGCGCGGGGCGCGCTCGGGTTTCTGTGGTGTAGCGGTTATCACGTTCGCCTCACACGCGAAAGGTCCCCGGTTCGAAACCGGGCAGAAACACTTCCCTTTTGCGTCCCTTTATTTTCCTTTTTTCTCTTTTTTTCCCCTTTTTCCCCTCATTTTCCCCCTCACTCCGGCACGTCCAGCGCACCTGAGCCCTTCTCGCCCCATTTTTATTCATTTTTGTTGGTGCAATTCTGAATCCCAGCCCTCTGTCCCCCCCTGCCTTTCCCAGCCGACCTTTCCTGCCTCGTGTTTTGTAATTTCATGTTTTGTAATTTCGTATTTTATTATTTCATATTTTATGAGATCGTATTTTATTACTTAATAATTTATTATTTCATTATTTAATATGTACAACCCTAAAAAATGGATTTAAAACTCTAAAAATGGATTTAAAACCCTAAAAAGGGGATTTAAAACCCTAAAAATGGGTTTAAAATCCTAAAAAATGGATTAAAAACCATGAAAAATGGATATAAAACCCTATAAAAGGGATTTAAAACTCTAAAAATGGATTTTAAACCCTAAAAAAGGAAATTTAAACCCTAAAAAGGGATTTAAAACCCCAAAAAAGGGATTTAAACCCTAAAAAAATTGATTTAAAGCTGTAAAAAAGGGATTTAAAACTCTAAAAATTGATTTAAAACCCCTAAAAATGGATTTAAAACCCCTAAAAATGCCCAAATTTCGTCAGATTCTGCACAAATTGAGTCAAATCCTGCCCAAATTGGGTCAAATCCTGCCCAAATTCTGTCAAATCCTGCCCAAATTATCTCGAATTCTCCCCAAATTGAGTCGGATTGTGCCCAAATTTGGATTAATTCTGCCCAAATTAGGTTAAATCCTGCCCAAATTGGGTCAAATTGGCAAATTAAGCTGAGAAAAATGGGAAATCTCTAAACCTTCTCGTGGGAAGATAAACGGAGTGAGTATTATAGGGATATAAAAAGGTAAAGGGATTTCGAAAGTGTGAAAAACCTCAGAAAGTGGACATAAAGCTAAGAAAAACAGGGAAATTTCTAAATGTTCTCGTGGGAAGGTAACAAGTTAAAAACCGAGCGAGTGCGTTTATATTTGTCACAAGGAACAGGAAAAAACAAGAATTATTGGCAGCTCAAGGTGTGAGGAGCTCTGGACGTGCTTTGCAAAGTTTCAGTCTCTGAAAAAGTTCCCCGCGGTGTCTGTGGCTTCTGTGATTTATAATCAATAAAAATAATAAATAATAATAATCTTAAAAGGTGTGGTTTCCTCCTTCCAGGGACGCGGGGCAGGGACGTTCCCTGGGCCAGAACCACCAGGATTTAATTAAAATTCCAGCCCGATCCCGGCACCCAGCAGCAAACGCCAGGCGGAGGAGGAGCTAAAACGCGCAAATTTGGGGTTTTTTACTTCATCCAGGGGGAGCGGAGAGGAACGGGGTTGGGGTGGTGCAGGACGGGGCGGGACCCGCCAGATTTGGGGGGACAGCGACGCTCAGCGCGGCTGGGAGCGGGGAGAGGCGCGGATGGCGCCGGGAATGGCGACGCAAACTCGGGGTTCTGGGATTTGGGGAGCTCAGGGGCACAGCGCGATGCGGGAGCCCTCTCCCCACACCAGGAACCACGGCCGCACCCCCTGCCCGCCGAAGGAGGCGGCGGCGAAGGCGAAGATGAGGCTCCTGCGCTCGGCGTCGAAGAAGGCCACGCGGCCGCTCTCGTAGTCCAGCGCCACCCGCACCGCGCCGGGAGCGCGGCCGGCCGAAAGCGGGGCGCGCTCGCGGGGGGACAGAGCCCAGAGGCGGCCCCGGCACAGCCCCACCGACCACAGCTCCCTCCCGGGGGGCTCCCTGGCCACCCCCAGCGCCCAGGACCCCTCGGGGGACACGCGCGCGTCCCAGCAGCGCCGCCCGGCCGTGACGGCCTCGAGGCCCAGCACCGAGGGCTCGGCGCCGGGCTCCGCCTCGGGCTCCGGAAGGTTCCGGGCTCGTTCCCAGCTGACGCTGCTGCCGTCGGGGGCCACCAGCAGCTGGGGGTGGGCCGTGCTGGGGTCCAGCGTCACGGCCACTGCGCCGGGGCGGGCCCAGAGGGAATGCCGGGCGTCCTCACCCCGTCCCGCGGGATGGGGAGGAACACCCGGCTCCCCCCTGGGGGCTCTTGCCCCCATTTCCCATCGTTTCCCCCCATTTCCAGCTGATTTCCCACAGTTTCCCACCCCTTTCCCATAGTTTCCCACCCCTCTCCCATGGTTTCCCCCATTTTCCATAATTTTCACCCCATTTCCAATAATTTTTCCCCCTATTTCCCATCATTTCCCCCCATTTCCCATAATTTTCACCCCATTTCCAATCACGTTCTCCCAATTTCCCATCATTTCCCCCCATTTCCCATCATTTTCCCATCATTTTCCATAATTTTCTCCTCATTTCCCATCGTTTTCCCCATTTCCCATTGTTTCCCTCTCATTTCCCATTGTTTCCCCCCATTTCCAACAGATTTCCCATCATTTCCCCCCCATTTCCCATCATGTTCTCCCAATTTCCCATAATTTTCTCCTCATTTCCCATCATTTCCCCCCATTTCCAATATTTTCCCCCCAATTTCCCATCATTTCCCCCATTTCCAATCGATTTCCGATCATTTTCTCCCAATTTCCCATCATTTTTCCCAATTTCCCATCATTTTCCCCCATCCCAGCGCTCACTTTTCTCCGGCAGCTCGAAGGCCAGGATGTCTGAAAAAAGGGGAAAAAGGAGACATGGAATGATATAAAATGCAGGGGAAAGTGGGAATGGGTGTGAAAAAACGGGATTGCACTCAAAAATTAAAAGCAGTTAAAATAATAAAATAATAAAATGATAAAATGATAAAATAATAAAATAATAAAATAATAAAATAAATAATAAAATAATAAAATAATAAAATAATAAAATAAGACACAGCGCATGCTCTAAGTAAATATAACTTATGGCTGCACGCATGCATAATAATCATACAATAAACATATAATAAATTAAATTTTAAAGTATACAATAAAATAATAAAATAATAAAATAATAAAATTAATAAAATAAAATAAAATAAAATAAAATAAAATAAAATAAAATAAAATAAAATAAAATGAAATAACCCCTCGCCGCCCAGCCTGCCCCAATACCTTGGACGCCCCTCAGCGTCTCCCCCAGGAGAATATTTTCCTCCCTGAAGTGACGAATTTTCTCCTCCATCTCCAGCAGAGGCGACGGGGGCACCTGGACGTTTTCCTCCGCGAGGCTGGGGGAGGACGGGATGAAGAATTTGAGGATCCCGAAGAATTCCCTGGGCGGGCTCGGCCTCAACCCCAAATGTTTCGGTTTCTGAGGAGGCCAAAGGCGGCGGGGGCAGCTCGGGAAGGCGCGCCCGTACCTGCGCAAGGCGCTGCCGATGTCCTGCGGGGGACAGGAGGGACTCGGTGAATTCCTCAGAACCTCCCTGGAGAGATTCCCCATCCCCAAAGCCCCCGCGGCGCCGGGCTGGGGGTGCTTTGGGCTGGAGGGACCCCCGGAGCCCCCGGTTCCTCCATCCCACCACCCCGGGCTGGGGGTGCTTTGGGCTGGAGGGACCCCCGGAGCCCCCGGTTCCTCCACCCCACCGCCGGGCGGGGGGTGCTTTGGGCTGGGGGGACCCCCAGACCCCCGGTTCCTCCATCCCACCGCCGGGCTGGGGGTGCTTTGGGCTGGAGGGACCCCCAGACCCCCCGGTTCCTCCATCCCACCGCCCCGGGCTGCCCCAAACCCCTGCCGGCTGTCCCTTGGCACCTGCAGGAAGGTCCTGGCCGGCTGCTGGCACCTCTCCTCCAGCTCCCGGGCGCGGCTCTCCAGCCGGGAGATGTCCCGGCTCAGCCCGGCCAGGCTCTCCTCCTGCGCCCGCCCCACGCCGCTCTCCAGGCGCCCCAGGCGGGCCAGGAGGTGCCGGCAGAGCTCCTCCAGGGAGAGGCGCAGCTCCTGGAACTGCGCCAGGATCCGCTGCCGCTCCGCCTCGGTCCTCTCCTGCGGGGAGGGGGGCTCAGAGACCCTCCCTGGGGAGAGACCCCCGCCCGTCCCCTCTGAGTCCGCTCGGATTTACCAAACACTCGCAGCCCCTCCTCGTCTCGGCCTCGCGGAGCTCCAGGAGTTTGTCCCTGCCGTCCTTCAGGGCTCGCAGCCCGGCCTGGATTTGCTCCTGAGGGAGGGGAAAAAAATAAAAATTCCGATTTTTCCCGAGATGGGGAAAATCAAAACCTCGCCCCGGGCAGGGCGGTGGAGCGCGGGCAGCTCCGTTTCTCCTCCCGCTCCGGAAAAAAACCATCCCGGCTCTCTTTTTTATCGCATTTCTGCTGATTTAGGGACTGGCAGTGTCCGCTGGGGAGCTGGAGTTCCACGGCAGGGAGGAGGAGGAGGATGAGGAGGATGAGGAGGATGAAGACCCCGACCCCTCCCGGCTGCTGATTGAGGGATTGGAGCGCTGGTTCCACGGCAGGGAGGGTGAGGAGGAGGGTGAGGAGGAGGATGAGGATGAAGACCCTGACCCTTCCCGGCTGCTGATTTGGGGATTGGAGCTGGAATTCCGCGGCAGGGAGGAGGATGAGGAAGAGGAGGATGAAGACCCCGACCCCTCCCGGCTGCTGATTTGGGGATTGGAGCTGGAATTCCGCGGCAGGGAGGAGGATGAGGAAGAGGAGGATGAAGACCCTGACCCTTCCCGGCTGCTGATTTGGGGATTGGAGCTGGAATTCCGCGGCACGGAGGAGGATGATGAGGATGAAGACCCCGACCCCTCCCGGCTGCTGATTTGGGGATTGGAGCTGGAATTCCGCGGCAGGGAGGAGGAGGAGGATGAGGATGAAGACCCTGACCCTTCCCGGCTGCTGATTTGGGGATTGGAGCTGGAGTTCCGCGGCACGGAGGAGGATGATGAGGATGAAGACCCTTCCCTGCTCGGCGGAGAACGAAGCCCCCGAGCTTTCCCTGCCCCCTGAAAGGCTCTGGGGGCCGCGGGGGGGGGCATTTCCAGCCGGAGCAGCCTTTTCCCTGGTGGAATATTCGGGAAATGGTCACCTTGCGCTCCCGCACGGCCTCGGGCAGCGGCAGCACCGCGTGCGCCCGGTGCGCCCGCGACTCGCGGCAGATCGCGCACAGCAGCGCCCCGTCCTCCTCGCAGAAAGCCTCCAGCGGCTCCCGGTGCTTCTGGCACCCTTCCTCATCCTCCTCCTCGGCGTCTCCCAGCGCTTCCCCGCGGCTCAGCCGCCGGGCGAGCTCCAGCAGCCGCGCCAGCTCCGGGCTGGGGCGGAGGCTCCGCGCCGGCGCCGCGTCCCGGCAGCGCGGGCAGGCGAAGCGGGCCGTGGGCCACTCCCAGCGGCGCTCGATGCACGGCCGGCAGAAGTGGTGGCCGCAGTGGATGGACACGGGGTCGCGGAAGAATTCCCGGCAGATGGGGCAGCGCCCCGAGTCCCCGAGCGCGTCCATGGAGCGCCCGGAGCCGCCGCCGCCCGTCCTGCCCGCGCGAGGATGAGGATGGAGAGCGGGCAAAATCCTCCTGGTTGGGTCCAAAACCTGGGTCCGAGCCGGATTCCTGGGGTGCGCAGCCCGGCGAGGAGCAGGGGCTGCTCCGCCCGCTCCCACCTCGTGGAAATGGGGAAAAATCCCCAAATTTCCGCTGATCGCCAAAGGATTTCCGCGGGCTCTGATGGTCCCAGCTCCGCGCAAAAAGGGCTGGAAGCTCCCACGCCTATCCTTGGATTTCAAAAAATTTAAATTTAGATTTTAACGCATTTTGATTGAGTTTTTTTTCCCCTGGAACCCGAGCCCCCCGCTCCCCCTGGAGCCCGGGGCCGGGGAGAATTCGCCTGATTAAACCCGGATAATCAGGGAGGAAAATCGTTTGGAAAGGGGATCCCGATCCGCCCCAGCTCTGCGCGAGTCTCACCCTCCGAGGAATCGACCTTAGCCCCAGATTAACCAAAAAAAAGAAAAAAAAAAGGAAAAAAAAGGAAAAAAAAAAGAAAAAAAAAAAAGAAAAAAAAAGGTGTTTTGAGCACGAAGCCGCCCCCCAGGTTTCACTCTGAGTGTTCCGAGCACCGGAAAACCCCGAAACCCCCCAAAAAACTCCGGCAGAGAATTAACGGCGAGTGAGTTTTTGACCGATTTCCTCAAAAAAAAAAAAAAAAAAAAAAAAAAAAAAAAAATCACTTTATCGAGTTCTGACGGCTCCGGAGTCACGCTGGGGCTCTTGGTTAAAAAAAATGAAAATTAAAAATTAAAAATAGGAAGGTTTGTGGTCGGCGGCTCAGGCCCCAGCCGTGAGAGAAGCGATTTCCTGTGTAAAAGGAGAAGTGAAAGGAACAATAAAAGTGTTTTTGAATAAAGCTGCACGGACGGGTGGGGGTGTTGGAGGCGGGAATTTAGGAATGCTGAAGGATCGGGAGGCGGAATCAGCAGCAAGGGATGAGCCAAAAATTCCTCCAAGCTCCGTCCCCCCTTCAATGAATGAACTGGGAGCGAATAAATAAATTAAACACGCGTGTAAATTAAATTTATTAATGAATAAATGCAAAATAAATCGACGGAAAGCAGCGGAACCGCGCTGGTTCCTGGTTCTGACCGCGAGGGGAGGCTCGCGCTCGCCCGGGGTGATTTTTGGGGCAGAAAGGAGGGAAAAAGGAGCTGCAGGGAGGAGGGAAAAAGGAGCTGCGGGTGGATTCCAGCCCAGCCGGTGAGTGATGAAGGAATTTTTAATTTCCGCTTCATCTGCGCCCAGCCCGAGGTGGGGAGGGGGATCCTCTGTGTCTGTCCGGCTCGGGAGGCGGCAGTGCGGTGTTAAACTCGGTGTTAGACCCGGGGTTAGACCCGGTATTAGACCCGGTGTTAGAGCCGGTGTTAGAGCCGGTGTTAAACCCGGTACTAGACCCTGTGCCAAGCCCCGTTCTAGACCCTGTGCCAAGCCCGGTGTTTATTCATGGGTTTATTTATTTTTTTATTTATGGGTTTATTTTGTGTCAAACCCGGTGTTAGACCCGGTGCCAAGCCCGGTACTAGACCCGGTGCCAAACCCAGTACCAAGCCCGGTATTAAACCTAGTGCCAAATTTGGTATTAAACCCGGTGCCAAGCCCGGTATTAGACCCGGTGTTAGAGCCGGTGTTAGAGCCGGGGTTAGAGCCGGTGTTAGACCTGGTGTTAGATCCCGTATTAGACCCGGTGTTAGACCCGGTATTAGACCCGGTGTTAGACCTGGTGTTAGACCTGGTGTTAGATCCCGTATTAGACCCGGTGTTAGACCCGGTGTTAGACCCGGTGCCAAGCCCGGTGTTAAACTCAGTATTAGACCCAGTATTAGACCCGGTGTTAGACCTAGTGTTAAACTCAGTATTAGACCCGGTGATAGACCCGGTATTAAACCCAGTTTTAGACCCCGTGTCAGACCCGGTATTAAACTCGGTATTAGACCCGGTACTAAGTCCGGTATGAAACCCGGTGCCAAGCCCGGTATTAAACCCAGTGTTAGACCCCGTGCCAAACCCGGTGTTAGACCCGGTGCCAAACCCGGTATTAAACCCGGTGTTAGACCCGGTGCCAAAAAAACCGGTGGCAAGCCCTGTATTAGACCTGGTGCCAAACCCAGTACCAAGCCCGGTATTAAAGCCGGTGCCAAGCCCAGTATTAGACCCAGTACCAAGCCCGGTATTGGACCCAGTGCCAAACCCGGTATTAAACCCGGTATTAGACCCAGTACCAAGCCCGGTTTTAAACCCGGTATTAGACCCAGTACCAAGCCCGGTATTGGACCCAGTGCCAAACCCGGTATTAGACCCGGTATTAGACCCAGTACCAAGCCCGGTTTAAACCCGGTTCCACACCACCCCGCGCCCCGCCCCGCTGGTCTCTCAGCGCGGCCGCCGCTCTCTCTCCGCCTTTCATCCGCCGCCCCGGGGAGCTGACCCGGCCCTGTCCCGTTCCAGGCCCGGTCCCGGCCCGGCCCGAGCCCGGCCATGGCGCAGCGCGGCCCCGCCGGGACCCTCCTCGCCTCGGCCTCGTGCCCGCTGTGCCTCGGCCTCTTCCAGGACCCCGTGTCCATCCACTGCGGCCACAACTTCTGCCGCGGCTGCATCGAGCGCTGCTGGCGGAGCTCCCGGGACAGCTTCCCGTGCCCGCGCTGCCGGGAGACGGCCCCGGAGCGCGGCCTGCGGCCCAACGCGGAGCTGGCCGCGCTCATCCGCGCCGCGCAGGAGCTGAGCCTCCGCGGGAGCGCGGCGGCGGGGGGCGGGCCGCCGGGCCGGCGGGCCGGCGGG